CAGAAAAAATACCATCTTTTTAACATGGAAAACAGTCGAATAGAACAGAAATACTTCTACCATATTAGCCTTAGTGTCACATTAATGTACAGAAAATACGGAAGTTACATGAACTCTACTGTTTCTGTATCTAGGCAAGGCAAAGGTATGCTTTAAAATGAACGGATACAAAGACGGCTGCATTTGACGAGAAACCATAAAAAATCATTTGGGAACTGTCAAAATCTATCACCCAGCATACAAAAATTCTACCAATTATTATGTGTGAATTATGTTTAAAGTAATGGAATAAGATCAAAATGAAGTTATACTTCACTTTTAAAATACATATTGTTGTCACGTTATACAATTTTTGCATTATAACAATGCGACCTTACTGTAATTTGTGCGAAAAACCATGTGAGTTGAAAAAGTGCATTGAGCTGTATATTTTTCCTTTTTATTTTACTTGTAACATAATAAAGAAAAATTGCAATTTCGTTTGTTTATTCAATAAAAAGGAACATATCTTGGACCCTTACGAAAGCAACAGTGACTGACGCTGGAAAAAATCTTTAATCTTATTACCGGTCTTTTCGTAGTTGTGTTAGAATGTGCCCATCGTAAAAAAATGCTTGGATTGACTGAGTGCATCGTATTTTTGATTCATGTGGACTGTCTTATATTTGAAATAAACAGTTTTGTTATCATTTTAATCCAAATTTGGTTACCACTGCTGTGAAGCAAAGGTCACAGGATCAATTTATGCAGAAATGGCACTCTGACATTAATAGATCATCCAAAGGTATTGTGTATATATATTTTCAAATAAATTTTGAGTGTGAAAACTAGTTTTAATTAAGTATTAAGCCATAAAAATTTAGAAAAATACTTGTCAAATTCCGTCGGTCTAATTACGGTCTACCACTTGAGCTTGGAAGATGGGCATTAGATATGTAATGCTCAACATGTTTCCGACGATTTCCATTTTATACTTGAATATACTGCATTGTCATACAATAGAAAAAAACATATCAATGAATTCTATTTTACAACTTCTACTTTACTGGACCAAATATTCTTAAATTTCTCAAATGATGACAAAACAAGATGGTAAGACATTAAAAAAAACTCTATGTTTATATTAAAAATATATGATTTAGTTTGTCCTCCATGATTTTTCCCCTATTTTTCTCATTATTACGTAAAACGAATGTTTTTCTCTTTCTCTCCCATTTCATTTTCTGATTATATTAATCATACACTTGTATCCCTTACCTGAATTTATAATATTTAAAATATGTTTTCTTTTGTTCTCACGTACCATATATTGTAAATGGTTTTGAGGCAATAAATGAACTTGAACTTGTATGCTATAATGAAAAAAGGGGGTGATAACAGGCAGTGATCAATATCAAAGATCTATAAATAACAAAAAGCTGTGAAAAGAGCATAAAACATGGAACAATGTACATCTCAGAGATGGGACCAGGGTGCCTAGGAGGGGTAAGTATCCGCTAGTTTACCACTCACATCCAATGTGTAAAACAAGGTAGCAAGTATGTAATAGGGTAAAATTAAGGAATAGGTCTAATTCAACGTATACATATTGGATCTATCATGCAAAGGGGAAATACTGTACAGATATTGAGGAAGGGTTAAAATGTAACTCGACTTCCTGCAAAGGAATGCGAGGCTGACACATAAACCGGTAATTCTGTAACAGCATTAAGCCTTAATAAAAATCAGTTTCCATGATTTTATCTCATCAAGTCGTGATTCCAAATTATACATATTTTTCAATTTCGAAATTGCTTGAGTTTTTCCTCAGAACCAATTCTTTCAAATGTGTGACGTCACCAACATAAATGTCAAAAATGTACATAAATTATATATGTAGTTATTACGAAAATAACTTGATATGACAGCTCAGGTATAAGTACACATTTTTGTATGCAAGTGGAGATCAAAAGAGAATGAAATGTAGAAAGGTTGTAAAAAAAAAAATAATAATTAAAATAAATTAAAAAAAAAAGAATTCAATCTTTGACTTCAATCTTTATGCATGCGCTATTATGTAAATGAGTGAGAGTGAAAGAGAGAGAGAGAACATTTTCAATCTTTATGCATGTGTTATTATGCACAACTACGTACATGTATATATTTCATAAAAGTACTAGTACATGTACATGTGTACTTAAAGTTCATTACATGAAAAGTATTAAATTACCTAAAGTTCTGTATTCTTTATCACCGATTGAATGAAACCCAGTTTATAATTGATTAAAGTATAAACAGCAATATTTGCCAAGAACGGAAAGATGATCACATATATGATGTGAAATCTTACAACATATAAATTGATACAGTTCAATTGACAATATAGAAAAAGTCTTGAAAATCTGTAAAGTTCCTTTATCCTTTTCTATGGTGTTGACAAACATTTATAACATTGATGTAAGATATATAAATGTTTCTAGGTTTATGCAACATTTATAGTCTTCCCCTGCTCAACTTAGCATGGACATGTTTTGATGACCGTAAAATATATAACGCATCATCGTCATCGGCTTTCCAACAGGTTTCTTTGTGAATAAAAGTTTCATTTTCTTTTTCAGGAATCACCTGTGATAGAGAGCAGTTTCTGATACATGCAGCTGTCTAAAATAATATTTCGAATTGGTTCAAGGTAATTAGAGTTATCGTTCCTTGGCTGCATGATTTTTTTGCCAATTTTTTTTTTCTAGGAGGAAAATATCTGTGCGCCGATTCCTGCCCATCAAATGGGTATTAATGTGACTCCAGTTGTAAATGTGGACCCATGCAGCTTCAAATGTCCCAGATGTAAAGTAAAATGCTTTTTTTTTCATAGACCTTCGCTTTAGGTCTATGCTTTTTTTTCATTTAGTTTATAAAAATACATGAGCATCAAAAATACCATCTCCTATACACAATGAAGATTTTACAGCTTGTTTCTTTCTGTAAGTTAATTAATATTTCTTGCTGTCTATGCCATACATCCCATTAAACAATTCGATAAAAATTCCCACACGAAGTATCAACGTCCCGAACTGGAAGAACCACCCCGGCTTAATCTTTCTAATTTTTTTACTGTTGAAAATGTTCATTGAAAGGCTAGTTGGCCCCCACGTTTTGTTACATACAGTAATACATCATGAACATGTAGTAATATGTTAGTGAAGGTTTGTTGTAAACATATTGCCACACAACCAATCTCACTTACTGAATAGCTTTTAAAGTTTGAATATTTTCCTATACTTTTCGTAATTTTATTTCATTTCAAAGTTTGTTCGATTTATTTGTTAATATTGTTTTACTAGTTTCCTTTTAACTTAGAAAGAAGATACCAATGTTACATGCCTGTTGATATTTTGTGTAATTTACAGGAACCTGTGGTTGTGGAAAGGGATGCATCGGACCTCAGTCCTGTAAATGTACTCACAGTAGCTGTGTCTGCAAAAATGACTCCATGGTCACCAGACGGAATTCCATTTTAAAGAACAAAATAAATGCATAATATACTATAATTTTCGAGAAAATATTTCGATAATATAATATTCTTGTATACATAGTATAATAAAGTATATTCGAAATATTAATGAAAAACCGGGGGGGGGGGCTAAAGAAAAGTGATGAACTCAAAAAATGCAGAATAACGACTTGTGAAGATGGCGTAAAGCACGGAACCCTTGTAACCATAGAGATTTGATCCACTCCTGTTGACCGTCCACTCCTGAAGAGTGAAACCATACAAGTAGCAAGCGTTTGATATGTTCAAAGGTATGGGTCTTTTCTTTGAATCCGGTGAAAACATACATTGGGGAAGAGAAGGGGCAGGAATAAACTGATTATTCTTTAGTAGTAAGCCGTGTTAAAAAAGTAAAAATAAGTTTTCGAGGTTTTATTTCCCCGAACTGTGATTCCGTATATGATTTTCTTTTAATCTTAGACATTTCTTCTCATGAACATTTCTCGTTTATTTTACATACGTGCAATGTAACCAGCACAAATGTCAGAAAACTATACAGTAGTTATTAGGAAAATAATTTCATATGACGGCTTCGATATAATTACAAATTTTAATGCAAGTGAAGATCTGAAGTGATAGAGAAATATAGCATCAAAAGTTTTAAGTAACAGTTAATATGAAAATCGTAATTATATATGCACATTATTTTTAAAGAAAATTAAATTATCAAACCAACAAAAATAGTGACAATTCATTTCTTATAAATAATGCTTTTTCTTAAAAACAACTTGTTATACCCTAATCCAACATTTGCATGATAATTTCTATCAAGAGAGATAGAAAGAATATTACCATTTACACATATACTCTTACAGTTATAGATATCTTATACATACGTCAGTTACATGTATCTCGTGACAAGTACATTTGCACAATTATCCAAAGCTCTCAATACTTTATCAGCAAATGAACCAAGCCCAACACATTGACTAAAGTACAAACACGGAAATCTGAAAAGAACGGAATGATGATCACGTAATGATATTAAAAAAATAAATCTACACAACTGACAGTATAGGAAAGTCTTGAAAATAGATTCATTTATTCCTGTTCTAATAAGACGTTATACATTGATAGGTTTGATGTAAGCTATAAATATGAACTGTTTTATACTACAGTCTATAGTCATTCCCTTATCAACTTTGTAAAAAAAAATTAAAATTTATACATTTTGCACACGATACTGTGTATACAACGAATGGCTATTTGCACACGATGCTGAATATTTGTATAACGTGTATATACGTAATATTGTATTCTTTATTCAAAGGGCGTGATACTCATAAGAACTCCTTTTAAAAAGGAATTTTCATTTCTCGACAGTAAAAGGTAGGTTATATTTTCTTACTTTATTTTGAAAATAGAATTTTTACCATGTTTACGATACTGATGGGAAAAATCAATATTAATTTCATGACTAATATGAGGTACCAAAATTATCATAGCTTCAAACATCATTTTTCCCTTTCAGAAAACACGCATTCAAACCAAAAAAATGTCTGACCCCTGCAACTGCTTAGAAAGTAAGTTGGGATAATTTCCTTGTATCACATATACGTGTATCAAATATTACTGATAATAAGCCTTATAAAATGTTCGAGTTGTCGCTCTTTTTACGTCGATATACATGAAAATTTTTTTTTTCTAGCTGGAAAGTGCGAATGTGCAGATTCCTGCCCCTCAAGTGGATGTAAATGTGGCCCCAGTTGTAAATGTGGACCCAGCTGTAAATGCCCCGGATGTAAAGTCAAATGCAACTGCAGCGGTAAGTTAGTATTTTAACCCAGGAATGAAAAAAATATGAAAATGGGTAAAAAAAAAAAGAGAAGAAATACCCAGTATGCATGTAATAAACATGTACATTTATATCTGTATCAGACATACTAAGAGGTTTATTGTTCTCAACTGAATAATCTCCGGGAAAGAGAGCAGTATTTAAAAATATTCAAACAAAACAAATGTAAAAAAAAAAATAATTGAACAATTTTTGCAAGGAATATGTTTAAAAACAGTATTTTCCCTTTCAAATTTTCATAAATTACATAAAACTGTTTTGTTTTCAGAAACATGCGGTTGTGGAAAGGGCTGCACGGGACCTGAAAATTGTAATTGTACCGACAGCACCTGTGCTTGCAAAAAATGACTCCATGTGAAAGATTTGCATTGTAAAGAACAAAATAAATACTTAATGTGCCATATATGAAGTGTTTGTTTGTTTTTATTTCACTGTTTCTTTCAGAAGCTAATGAACATCATGCAGCTTAGGGGATCGCTCATTAAATAATAGCTACCTAGCTGTAGCGTTATGGTTTCATATATTAGTCTTTTATAAGCATAATCCTACAGATCCTGTCATGAAGAAAAAATGTGTAATTTACGGTGCAAGATTGTTTGCGCACTGTTTAGGAGAATTTCTCCACTTTGCAACATTGGTAAACCATCTACCTTTCCCTCCATAATTCTAGACACATTTAAAGAAAAGAAATCTGTATATTTTATACACCTCCAAACCCTTTTAAGTCGTCTCTACACGCGAAAAACTCGCTTAAGGACAGATGATACAAACAAACTTTTGTCAAAGAATTCGAAAATAACAACTTCGGTCATGTTTAAATGAGTAAAATGAATAACTTTCACCGCGTAGTTTTTAATTTTTAATCAAAATTTGCACAAAAATGGAATTTGAAGTGAAAAATATTTGTATAGATTAATAAGGATGGTTTCACAAGGGCAGACTTTTGAACACCACAGGTTTACAATTTCTTTATATTCTAAAAATTTATTATATGCATCATTTGCAATGAAATTATGCCAAAAAATACATACCAATCCAGGCATCCATTTTTTGTTTGTATCATCTGTCCTTAAATTAGAATTTTCTGCAATCCCGCAGACAATTCAAATCAAGCCAGTTTATCACCTGTATAAGTGACTGCATGGAATTATGGGGTGAAAGATAGGTAACCAAATTGGAAAGTTCAATTTAAGAAGATGGTTCATGTCAGTGGATTCAAACTTTGCATTAAGCTAAACAAGGAAAGGAAAGAAGACTTAGAGGACAATTGACATCCAGCACATATTAGACTAGTACCCCCCCCCCCAACTTCCGCGAGTAGAGAGTCAATAGGAGGGCACATATAAAACTAGGAATTTGAAATATTCTTTAAAAAGCAAATATATGAAGCCTGTTGTGATATACGTATGCAAACATTTAGCAAAGTTGATAATGTGTAATAACCTGAAGTAGCTCATTGAATAATAATAATCAGCGAAATATTTCATGCCAAAACGTAAATGACACATATGAATAAATATTATGTTCATACGAAATTTATCTCAATTATTCCATCTGATATTGAATTAGCATAAATGTTAGTTTTAATCATATATACTTTTTAAGAAAGGAGAAAATGTCGTATTTTAAGGACCCTATACACAAGTGCAAAATTTTTTTTGGACATTGAGAAAAATATATTTAAAAGGATTTTATATTTTTACGAGTTTATTGTCTAATTTACACTGTATGTGTGTTCGTGGCATTTAATCCCTTTGAAAAATGAACAGATTAGACAACACAGTATCAGTGAATACAAATCACTGTTAATTACTTCAATAGAGAAAATACACGTAAATAAAACGTTCAGTTAATTGATCTTGGGCTTTAAAAATGTTAAGAATACTTGTATTCATTACAAATTGAGTAATATATTGTTAATTTCAATTTTTTAAAATTTAGATCTAGGGGCAAATCACTCTAACCGCAGAAAAATACCTGAGAATCAGAACTCTTTAGTGTGCAGTGTAGAGAGGGTTCTTAAACTTTCTAAAAATTAAAACTAAAATAGATTTAACATGTATGTGCTCGTTTTCAATTTATTTTACTAAATTATTGTTTAAAATTACTCATGAACATATATTAAAACTAATTAAGATCTTAATTTCTTTTATGAATCTGGCCTACCTGATTTTACATGTACTTTTTCGAGCACACAATTCAGGACTTAGTATTACTGAGAATTCATTTTAGCACAGAGTTACCAAGGTAGGAATCTCCAGTTTCCAAGATTGATTGATAATTAATTTTTCAAAATATGTCACCTATTTAATTGTCAAATTTGAAGTTCATCTACAAATTGAAGATAGTCGTATTTTCTGTGTTATCAGAACATTTTCACCATATACTATCATTGTTTATGCTTTCGCATTTATTATTAGTTAAAATTTAAAACGGTGAATAAAAATAGAAATAAACTAGATCACCGTGTTTTCACTGTCACAAGGTATGTGTACGTCGTACATTAAAATCGTGTCGTGTGCAAAATAAATTATTACACAATCTTTAATGTACACACATTGTTATCTCTTGCGTTAAACGCTATCATTCCAATAACAGCGTGTCACTTTGTACATGTAAGATTAAGCGTGCACAATTTTCACATTTTCGTGTTTGATCACAGTTTAACATTTCGCACCGATTGGATGTTTGATTTCTATGAAATTAATACTACGAGTACTTTGCATTTGAAAATCCAGCAAAACAATAATTATCCTGAATTATCGCACTGAAAGAATGTTTACGAGGATGCCAGTTGTAATAGGCAAGAAAACGTGGTCAGTCAAAGTCATCGTTGGCTTCTCTGTTCATATGCAAAGCAGTATTCTTTTCATTGAAATCACACAACCAGTCCATAAGAAATATTGTGATCAACTTCACTACGCCCTATTGAACAAAGTGACACAGGCTGTTATTTCAATGATAGTAATAACCTCACCTTTCTATGAAAAAGTCTTATTTATATTTGCTATATGATTTTGCACATGACACTTTTTACATGTACATGTATACATCCTATGACGATTAAGCAAAGGCGGGCCAGTGACAAATGAGGCAATGTTACAGGTCATTCAACCCATTCACTTAAAGTCAGCATTTTTTATGCTTTACGGCCGTTTCTATTGTGTTGCTTGGCATTCCTTTGTGTGTTCCTTACTTCTTACTGTCTTGAAAATCACTTAAAACCGTAGTACCTAGATTACAGATTGATACGGGTGTTCGGTAGAGGATGCATACTTGCATTAGGCACGTGACCCCATTTATTGTTTTTCCATACGTATCGATGATCACAAATTGCATTGATAACTTAATTATTAAGATAATATATATCACACTTCGTTATTTTTGCTTTTCATAGGATTGGTTTATATTTGATATATATATTGCCCATATAAATTTCTACGTTTACCCTATTATGACAATGGAAACTGGAAAAGTATGACCGATTCACTCATACATGGCAAATGATCCTATTTCTGATATTTCAAAAGTCATTGTCTGCTCTGCCCATGATTGATAATTTAGAAAAAGTGTGTCCACAACAGTCGCCCACTTTAATTTGTGGATATGTTGTGCAGAATTAAATTAAAAAATCAATGAAAAATCACATATCTCAAAATCTATGTAGGCGATGCCTGTGGACAATGTTATCTGAAAGAAAATTCCATTGAAAATTCATGTCTACTGCAACGTTTTAAGAAAATACGGGAAATGCTTATGTTTATGACGTCACAATCAATTAGAAACACGTGTTTTAAAAATGATGTCTATGATTTTCCTGCATGGTATTTCAATGATTCAGAGAGCTTGGGTTTTCATTTTTTAAATCAGTTTCATTTTTAAGAAAATCACAGAAGATGTTGTGAAAAATGATGTCCTTGATTTTATATATGTATTGACAATGATCAGCATGGGTTTTCATTTAATAAATCAAAGTTTGGACTTACGTCAGATAATATTTATCCTACCATTTCAATGCCATAAGGAATATTGTTTCTCTGCTAGCAATGATATTTGCTTCAAAATACTCTAAATTAACACCACCAGTTGCTTTTGTTTTTATTTATTTATTGGTTACATACATGAAGGATATCAACAAATACAGGAAAACTATGAATTTTGAAACATCTCCTCAACAACGTACTCTAAGTAATACATGTCACCATAAGATTTAAGATTTTTTGCAGCACAAATCACTGTTGTTTGAAAACGTACAAACATGAAGTTTAAAGACCCAAATATATATATTCCTTTACATCGAATGAACAAAAGAAGTTGTAATTTTTCTTAATCATAGGTATATAAAATAAAAAGCAAACTATGTACATTTTCAATGATATGGCTGCTAATGGATGAATACACAGGTAATAAGATTATATATTTTATCAAGGATTAAAAAAATCAAGTCATGCATTGAGTTATGTTTTTGTTCACGTAGCCCACTGGACTAGCATCCTATTTTTTAACATCTGCAGCCAAAGCTTTTAAAGTTGTCATGTTGATGACCTTTTATGCGAGGTTGTACGCATCATTAACGGCGAGAGCGATCATAGCAATCAGGGTAATGCCGTCTGTTGCAAATGCAGCAACAATCATAGTGGCGACCAGAGCAACATTTACGATTCGTTCAAACCATGACATTTCCCAGAAAGCAATTTTCATTATTTTCCAGAATATGCCAAAAGAATAAGTGTCTTTCAGCAGAGTGAAAATTGCTTTTGCTTTTCCACAAGTATTTCCTGTTATCAATCTCTGAAGAAATTGGTTTATGATTCTTCTGAAAGCGGCTGTTCCACTATTGGAAAGATTTCCCTGATCATTTTGCCTATCAAGGCATCACCTTAGGTTACTTCAATTCCAATGACACCAAGAGCCAGCAATACGCTTTCTATGTAAATGCTAATTATTTGGAATATTATCGCTTTTGTGATGCCTTCCATCAAGAAAAGTTGTATTGGGTCAAGTAATTTTTTGCTTCCACGCTCAAAGGTTGCATAAGAGTCTGTTATCGTCATCGTAAATGTTTATTTATCAACATACTCCGATATTTTCCTAAAATCGTCATCCGAGAGAAGCTTTCGGACCTTTTATCGCACTCACTTCTGCGTCTGGAAGTTTTGAGAAATCGGCAAGGGAGTTGGTCGGGGTAGCTTCCATTACAGCGAAGTTCCTCATACGCTCTTGTATTTCCCTGCACACGTCCTGAGAACATTCTTGTATTGTAGGTTCCACGATTCCAGTGCCATCTTCATCACGCCATCGACAATAGTTACAAAAACAAAACGCATTTCCATGCTTTTATTCATAACTATACCATTCACTGTTAGCCCTTACTTACAATATTGAAATTTAATGATTCTTGGT